CTCTCTCTCTCTCTCTCTCTCTCTCTCTCTCTCTCTCTCTCTCCCTCCCTCTCCCTCTCTCTCTCTCTTCTTTCTCTTTCTCTTTCTTTACATTGTAGAATACATTTTAGTAAATTACGTAAAAATAATTATTTTTTCTCATAAACGGAAAACTTTTATAAGTTATTCACTCTGGTAAAATTAAATGGATTAATATTATTTCTCAACTTTGTCATTATTATAATATTTTCCTTCTCTACTGGTTTATCTACAACATCTGACAGATACAACATTATTCCGTTAGTTATTTTCTTCACAATATAATATATATGATTTTTTAAATATTAATTTAACTTTTCAATAATTGCATTACGATATTTAACATTTTCTAGTAGCCGGCATTTGCATTGCTTTATGTAATGCAAAGAATTGCGTTAAAGTAGTTTGCAGAGTACTATTTTCTAATGAAAAATAGCGTAGGCAAACTTAACGTAAATATAATGCATATTGATGATATAATATATTAAGATATATTTACAAAAATCGTAAATTAATTATTATATGTTACATGCTATATAACGTCTGCTTTAAAAAGTTGCAGAATAGAGAATACACCTGCAGAAATCTTAGATAATCTAAGTTTATCTCAGACATTCCTTACGATCGTCATTGTTTAGATAGTATTTTAAGAGATATATTTAAGAGAAGACGTTAAATATATAAAATTGGATTTTGTATGAAAAACTATAAATATCTACTTATGATTAACAAATATGAAAAATATTTGAGCAAGAAATTAATTTACTTATTTGTTTATTTTATTATTTTTAAATGCACAAAACTTAATAAAACAACTAACCTAACCTAATATTCAATAAAAATGTAATAAGGAATATTTTCCTTTTATTACAATTTTACGAAATTTAACGAATTCTAAGTAAAAAATCATCGTAGAGAAATATACCAAGAAACATTTTAAAGCTTGAACTGTAGAGAATAGAAAATCCACTCTTTGCCAGAAACGTGGACAGAATCAAGTCTGAAAAATATTAGATATTCTTATTCATTAATGTGACAACAGCAAAATTATTACAAAAAGATATACATGCATTAAGTAAATAATAAGTATCTAAAAGCTATACCATATTTTGAGTGGAAATTTTTTAATTAAAAAAGACATTCAGGTCCACATTACTGCTCGACGGAAACCGCGGGAAGGTGGTGGTCTCTTCCATCAGGAGGAAATGTAAAAAATTGTCTAATAAGTCATTAATGAAATATAACTATTTGACAATTTTATACATTTCCAAAGGAATGGGGGAATGGAGAAAAAAATGAGGAAACAAATATTTCATAAAGCAATTTCATGCATAAAAAACAAAATATGTAAAAAATGAAATACGATAAAAAATCAAGATAATATTATTCATGCACGCGAAATATTATAATAAAATGTATTATTATATATTTTGCATGCAAAACGTAAATCAAGAAACACACATGCAATACAAATTACTCAACGAGAAATGATTCGTCAATTGATGTCGAAACAATATCGAATCGATAGGGCTTGATAGTTTTAACATCGAGTCAACATTGTTTCGACATCGACAAATCATTTTTCGCTGGGTACGGCATTTACAGATTCAATACATGCATTTGCAAATTGTCCTTATAAAATGTTTCATATAGTGAGAAACGAAATTTTATGCGTAGATCTCTCTTTGTCTGTCGAAATAATTCGTACGTATGCGTAAATAATAAGAAAACCTAAAACTACACATAAAATTGGAACGCAAAAATTCTTCACAAACAAAAACTATGATTAAAATATATTAAAATATTTTAAAGGGTTTATCCAAACGTTGTTTCGCATCATTCATTCTCAATTCAGTCCTAAACTGCAACCTCACACAATACATCGTTTCGAATATATGCCACGCCCGACATTGTGTAATTATACAATCTAACTTGATGTATGTAGACAGTTGCACTACTAACTATGATATTTATGCATGCTTTGCGATAACAAATATCATAAAAACTTCTTAGTATATTCGTGTATTCGTAAGCATTGTATACAGGAAAAAATGTGACAGAACTTATTAAATAGTGTATTTGTGTGATTTGTTAGTCTCCAATTTAATTATTGTGCCGAATGAAAATCTTTTTTCTTTCATACATACAATTTTCTTTAATTTTCTTTATGATGAGATTTGCTGACTTGTGTCTGCTCCATTTGCTCAGGGTTAGGATTAGGATTAGGATTAAGTTAGGATTAGGAATCGATAATAACGGATATCTAGCGAGAAATCATGATATCCGACACAAACTTTAAAGTTTAAAGCACATAATGTCGGATATCACCATTATCAATTAGTTGTTATCGACCCCTGATCCTGAGCAGATGGAGCAGACAGATAAACAATTCCACAGTCAAATAAAAATTTTCGTCCGACACACACATAATTCTAGAAATATGCAGTTAAAATAATATATTTAGAGGTTTTAAAATAATTTTAAACAGGATCTTTAAGATGTCCTAAATATTCGAATATAAGATATCTTAAAAATGTTATAATGATGTTCTTCTGATAAATTTTGAAGACGTTTTAGGAATTGTAAGATATTTTTTAGATATTTTTACATCATAAGGTTTTCTGGGTGATTTCTCAGTAAAATTGTGTAAATCGAGAAATTAGTATTTTTGATTGACGTAAAATTATTACATCATTTTTTAAATCAAAGCCAGGTCTCACAATATAGCAAAAATGTCATCATTACAAAATAGTATTGTCACATATAGCAAAAACTTCCATTTAAATTTCATATTAATTATATTTATACTTAAACTGGAACGAATACTATAATACAAGAGTTGACATGTGTTATAACGCCACTGTAGTTTCCAACTGTTATAAAGTCATTGAAGCTTTATTTGGTTTTTTTTTTCAATCCATAGTAAACGGTATTTATTGAAGTGAGAGATAGCTCCGGTTTAGGCTGAAAAGTCTAAAGCCTGTTTCTTTTAACCAAATTTTGGTTAATTTAACCAGTTGGTTATTCCAAAGTTGGTAGAAAAGAACATAAGTCTAAAAAGATTTTTTATTTTCGTAAAATGTTTGGATGAGCAATCAAATAAGGTAATTGAGAACAGTAGCGGATTTATTTACAAAACTTGAGAAAATTAATTTAATTGAAAATTGAAAAACTTATCTTAGCTATGCACAAAAGTCACATTAAATAATTATGAATTAGACAAACATGTGAAAAATAGAAAATATCTTCAATGTTCCATATCTTTGTTTAATTCAAAATAGAATAAAGCATATCGTATTATTAATGATATAAAACTCACATTAAATATTTTCGCGTTCTTTGCTCATTTTCTGTTCAGATCTTTAACAAGTTCATGGCACCTCACTCCCATTTACTGCAAATAACCTATCAAAAATATTTGTAAAGTAGTATATATTGTCAACTGTTAGTAATACATATTGTCGCTATATCCCAGACAGCACACAATATTTATAAAACATTTTAGAAATATAAATATTAAATAATTTATAAATATTCTAATGTCCGAGATTTTCAGGTATGAAAAAGATTATGATAAATATTTAAAAATATTTTTAAAAAATTATTATAAATTTATTAATTATTAATTAATTATTATAAATTTTTTATAAATTATAATCTTTTTTATAAAAGTTTTATGAAAAAGGTTTTTTTTCCATAAATATTTTTAAATATTTATTATAATCCTTTTTATACCTGTGTGTGTGTGTGTGTATGAAAATCTCGGACATTTGAATATATATGTATAAAATATTTAATATCTATATTTCTAAAATATTTTGTAAATATTGGATGCTGTCTGGGATGTTAATAATGGTTGTTGATGTAATATATAGAGTGTTTCAAAAGTGGATGTTAATCGTCAGAAGGTAATTGGGGACCCAAAAACAAAAAAAAAATTGGTATAAACATAGGTGCGAAAATGCGTTGTTTTCGAGTTATCGCCATTATTGTATTAAAATTTCAAATTGCTTTGATTTTGAAATTTTTTGTCAAAATTGAAAGAAGAGATGTTTTTCATGAGTTTTATAACATACAATAATTAAAAACAAATAAAAGTTATTGGCTGCTTTCGCACTACCTAAGATGCACCACGTGAAGATACAGCTCGTTTAACATCAAACAAAGAGATGCTAAAGTAGTCCGTAACTTCTATTTGACTTTAATTATATTATAAATATCTCATAAAAATCATTTCTTCTTTCAATTTTGATAAAAAAAAATTCGGAAGTAAAGCAATTTGAAATTTTAATATAAGAATAGTTATAATTCGAAAACAACGCATTTTCTGTCCTATGTTTATACAAACTTTTTTCTTATTTTTGGGTCCTTGATCACCTTCTGAGCGATTAACTTCCAATTTTAAAACACCCTGTATACTTACAATTAGTTAAGCCATGGCCTTTCTTTGGAAGTAGGCAATCACTCCAATTCCGTTTGCACGAGTTTGTGCTGTCAGGCATGACAACCTAAAATATGACAATAAATATGACTTATTTAAACATGTAAATATGTTAATAATAATTAAAATATATTTTTAATATAATTCATTGTACGTTTTTACTCAGAACAAACATATTTTGGTAGCATTATGAATTTTTTAAAGTGCACCAATTGTAATTGTCAACTATAAAGAAAAGTCACCGGAGTGTCTCAATCCATAATAAATGTTTATTAGAAGGAGAGACAGTTTTGGTTTAAGTTAAAAAATCTATACCAAGATTCTTTATTTTCATAAAAAGTTTATATAAATGATCAATATATGTAGTTATCAATATATGTATAGTTGAAAATAATAGTGGCATGAGATGATGTACCCAGATAGCACAGAAAATTTAAAAAAAAATTTTTTTTTAATTCAGTTGTATGTCACCAATTCTAAGTTTATTTTCAGATGCAAAAAGAATTCTTCAGAGTTTAGTTCAGTGAAAAAAATTCTTTTTGCAACTAAAAATGAATTCAGAATTGTTGACTAAATTCTTTGTGAATTCTCTGTACTATCTGGAGTATTGCCTAGCAATTTCTAGAATAAAGAGTATCAATATTTTTAACAATATAAAACTTACATTAAACACCCTCGCGCTTTTCGCTCCTTTTTATATGTTCAGTATGAGTTCATGCCACCTCACTTCCATTTACTGCTAATGACCTATAAAAAAATTTTTGTGTGGAAATTTATATTATCAACTGTTAATAATACATAATTATTGGGTGTTAATAATTTTTATTGTAATGTATACTTACAATTAGTTAAGCCAAGGCCTTTCTTGGAAGTAGACAATTGTTCCACTTCTTTGCCACTTTCTTATGCCTTTCTTATGCCACTTTATTATGCCACCATCAGGCATAATAATTTCAGATCTGACGCTTTGAGCAAGTGAGCATATCATTAATAATTGAAACGCATTTTTAATATAATTTATTGTGCGTTTTTACTCGGAGCAAACATATTTTAAAAGCATCATGAATTATTTCAAGTCCGCTACTGTAATTGTTAACTATAAAAAAAAGTCATCAGAGCTTCTCCTCAATTCAATATAAGTGGCATTTAGTGGAATGAGAGACAGTTCCAATTTAAGCTGAGAAGTCTATAAGTCGCCCAAATCGAGCTCCTCTACTTTAATTTCTTCACATTTGATTTGATTCTCTTTAGATGTTCGCTTTGTGTTATTCTCAGATGACATTAAAGCTAAATGTCGAGCATCAATTTTCATAGTTTGAGCGGTTTGTCCACTCAACTTCAAGCTAGATTTCAACACACACAAAGCTTTAACGTGATGAGGACAAAGATTATTACGTTTCTTTGATCTCACATCTCTCAGTACAGAAAATATTGTTTGAGAAGCGGTATTTGAATTTGGGAGAGATCGAATTATATTAACTAATTTTGTTAGCATGGGATACTTAAACTTTCCGTCCGCTTCTTCAGTTATTGTTTTCCATGCATTATCGAAATCTAAAGTGATAAGTTTTTCCTTCTGCTCTAATGTGAAATTCAGATTCAAAGATTGCCATTCTTTTTGCAACATCTCTTCATCAAATTCGTCAAAGCGTTTAGCAACGAGAAGAACATCCTGAACGCTGTTATCTTCATCTTCTCGTTGCAAAGCAAACTTCGGATTAAAAATTCTCAATTTACTTAAAAACTCCTCTTTAACAAAAAGTCTCTCGCGAATTTCTTTCGTAGCAATGTTGTAGAATGAAAAACAATTAGCATGGATTGATTTGATAATATCATCCCGATCTTTCCGATTTAATTTATTAAGAAATTCTTGGCAAACTCGTCCGACTATAACGTGATCAAAAGCCAAACGGTTACACGCGAGGAAAGGATCAATTACACCACGTACAGCAGAATCTAATAACTTGTTTCTTACAACATTGCGAAGGACAGATCTCAAGAGATCTTCCGCAGCCGGCTGAAGTAAATAAACCTTTGTGTCCTGAGACTGAAAAGATGCACGAAATTTATTAAAAGCTTTAAGAATATACTCTAAAAATAAAAAGTATGCTCGCGTTTCTGGATTTCGCATCATAGAAAGTAAAGCAGTTTTAGACTTTGATTTCTCGTTTAGTTGTTCTTCTTGCAAACATTTCAGCAACGCGTTCCAATTTTCGTTCAATTTAGCAACACATGAATAACGAGAAATCCATCGCACTTCAGAATGCTTAAACATTTTCCTATCATTATCTCTAAAAGTAAACGATTTTCGTAATTGTTGGAAATTACATGCGCGCTTAGGATTGCCGGAGATGAATGATGCTACTTTTCGCAGCAGTTCTTCACATGCCAAAGGAATCGCTGCACAAGCTGCATCTGTTGCTAATGCAGATGCATGACAAGGGCACGGCATAGTTATTAAATTTTCACAATATTCTTGCAACTTTGTTTTAAGAAATTCATATTTTCCTGTCATAACGGAAGCGTTATCACAGGAAAGAGCAAGAATATTTTGAAATGGAATTTTCTTCTCCCACATTATGTCTCTTAAAGTTGTAAACAATTTTTCTACACTACAATCATTTGCATCCAATCGAATTAATTCAAGTAATTCTGTTCGAACATTCGAAGTTTGAGGATCGACGTATCGAACAACAAACGTTATCCACTTTTCATTTACCTCGGATGTTTCATTAATAAAAATGGAAAATTTGTTATTTTGCAGCGTTTCAACTAATCGTTCCTGTTCGCGAACATATAAAACCTTATTTATTATATCCGGTCCCTTTTTTCGATTCATTATCATATTTTCCAAAATTATAGGATCTTTTCCCAGTTCTTGAAACAAATTCAAAATTGATTCTGCTGTTTGAAATGGGATATTTTTTTCAGCAATTAACGCTGCAAATTTTATCTCCGCGATTTTCTTCCGATCTTTGTAAGTTGGTCGTTCATCAGGCATATTAAGATCTACAACAAAACCTCTTTTCTCACACTCAATAACATGTTTTCTCGTTTCAGAATGCCGTTTCAGTGCGTCGAGACCACATCGAAATGTCGAGTTGCAGAAGGAGCAAAAACAACTATATGGGTCATTGGGGATCTCCTGCAGCTATGGCTTGAACTGTTTATTTTCAAGCCATGGATGCAAGAATTCCCTTTTGCGAGTTTCTTTTCCAGTTGTCTTTACTTCTTCGTTTTTGTTATCTTTAAGCATATTATTTCGATGTGTCTCAGATGCAGCATGTTTGGAAACTCGTGATGAGCAACAAAAAGTTCTATTGCAAACTACACAGAAAAACATGGTATTATCATGTGGGACTTCTCTTATCCAACATTTATAATTCTCGTTTTCTAGCCAATTACGGCAAAAAGTTGCCTTTAATCTTTTTACACATTTAGAATCCATGTTGAAGAATGAAAGAATGCAGAAAAAAGAATTAAACAAGGTATTGAAACAAAGAAAAAATCAAGTAATGAAAAAATGAACTGTGTTTTACAAGAATACACTACTTTTACAAGAATACATGCTATTTTCTCTGAAGAACGAAACAAAAGAAATGTCTAAACAATACAACCTTAGAACTAATATTACATGCAAATTTAATCGTAATTTCAAAGCAAAATAAAAGATGGCCCAAACCTCCACATGGAAGCCACTTATACTTCTACCTACACGACACCAAAGCGTAAAAGAGATATCTATCACTGTGCTAGTAACTGCTAACTGAACACAACATGAACAAGTACAAAGCGAGTGAAAAGTGAACAATTAATTATTGAACCAGAGATGCAATTTCGAGCCTAAGCACACAATCATTTATCCTTCTCCACTTACGCACGTAACGACTGTTATTCATGTGACGATGCGCAATCGATTGAAGGCACCCTTATGCAGGATTCACACCGCGTCCGATGTCCAACGTACGAGGTTCGATCTCCAATAAGAGAAGAGAGCTTTCCAATGGAGAATTGAATTTTCTATTAGAAAGCTCTTCTCCTATTAAATATCGGACGTTGTACGCCAGACATCGAACGCAGTGTGAATCCTGTATTAAGCAGGAACACACACTTTGCATAAAGACATAATACACAATGCATAAAAAAACTGACCAATCAGAGTCTTTCATTTTCATCGTGGCAACAGAAATGAGAACTCTGATTGGTTTATTTCCTTATACGTTGGCTCGTATTCTAAGTTCTCTTTTAACAATAAATAAACTTCTAAAAATGACTCATACTAAACTTTATACTATGAGTCACTTTTAGAGGCTCATTTATTGTTAAAAGAGAACTCAGAATACGGGCCAACGTATAAGGAAATAAACCAATCAGAGTTCTCATTTCTTCATTTTTCATCATTTTTTCATCGTTGCCACGATGAAAATGAAAAACTCTGATTGTTTTCTTATACATTGTGTATTATACTTTGACGGGTGGGACCCGATTAACCACGATAAGATTGGACACAGATTGTAATGATTGGTTCGACCTAGTAATACACTAGATAATTCTTTTCATCGGTTGGTTGTGTCCAATCGTACCATGGTCAATCGGGACGCTCCCTGCTTTGACTATATAATCATGGACCGCTAGCGGCGATTCTAATGACTCCTGCACACAAGACGCGGTAAGGGCTATCGCACACAAATTGACATAACTGCATATGTATAGCATAAGATCGTATGGACCAATGAGCATCGAATATTAAGCATCGAACACCAATATGGCGACTTAATACTCGATGCTCATTGGTACATACGGTCTTATGCTATGCATATGCAGTTATGTCAATTTGTGTGCGATAGCCCTAAGGGTTGTCGCGCGGCGGAAGTTCGCGCGACAACCAATCAATATGCTGCTTTCCGTAATAACCTACAAGCTCTTACGGAAAAATAACATATTGATTGGCTGTCGCGCGGACTTCCGCCGCGCGGCAGGCATTACCGCGTCCTATGTGCAGAAGCCATAAGCGTTTGTCAACATCTGTAGCGCCGCCAGGACCAAATAACGGCAAAAGAAGGAACTCAGTAGAGCAAAACAGAGTTAGCAACGTAAACGCTTCTAATATCCGCGTATCACATGGTGATACGTATTGGAAAGACCTAACAGTATAAAAGTAATAAAAAGAATTAGACTTTCTTGAAAACCACAAATACTTTATAACAAAATTAATTATAGAAAATTATATTAAAATTGTTATGAATTATGAGGGAAAATTAATGAGCCAAAAATGTCAATATATCAGACATAAATTGACAAAAATTATTTTCAAGGACAATAATATACCGTCATTTGGGGTAACTTTTATATCGCTGATATGAAAGTTCTACCTCTATCCGTTTAATGATGCTACATGTTTTTGTAAGCCGTTGCAAATTATTCAAAGTTATCCCGGTGTTCCAAGTTACTTCAAATGACGGTATTTTAAATAATGTTTTAAAAAATGTTAAACATGTTTTTATAATATTACATATATATTATATAAACATTCTTAATATATATATATATATTTTTTTTTTTTATTCATATATTATATATCTCCTATTATATAAGTATATTATATAAATATTATATATTCTTATGTAATATAATAAATACAAATTTGATATGAAATTATATAAATATTTTATTTTGTGTTTTTATATTTTCGTTGCAAATTAGATTTTTTCTTGTTACTTAAAAAATTGTTGATTTTTATATTATAGCAAAGTTGTATAACTTTTTTTTTAATGTAATAATTTATTTGAAGAAAAAATGAAAAAGTCTGTTATTGACGATTAAAGAAATATCATAATAATTTTTCATGCATTTTAATGATAACTGCAATTTATGATCACAGACACACACACGAAATCTTTCACATGGTAAAATAGAAATCACAAGTATGTGATAGTTTACGTATACGCTGTTGTTTGGT